AAGGGAGGAGAGGGTCGCCGTGCCCAGACAGGGAGCAGCGCTTTATGCTTGAGGATTTCCTCGTTTAAGATTCGCATGAAAGGCTTGTTCTGAGCAGCACATGGAAACGGGGGAGGGGGCAGGGGGGCACGATCTTGGGCATAGGACATTCTGCCCCATCTCCCCCCTCCCGCCGCTGGCCCTGCTTGAATCGCTTCCCAGCGCCAGAAGAGAGCTGTTTCCGCTTCTACCCAATGAGGGTTTTCATTCCTGCTTGCGCGTTTTACTGCTTTATTGTTCATATTTTTAGCTTCTTATTGTTTTGGTGTTAAAGGTTGAATGTTAATGTTTCACTCTAGCTACTCATCTTGGAAGACTGCAGGTAGGCGATATAAAAATCTTGTCTGTGGGCCGGTTCCCAGGATGCGCATAGCTGCATGGAGGAAGTGCCGGGGGGCAGATCTTGAGGGGCGCATCCGATGGAGCCACGCAGGGGGTTCTGGACGTGACCTGAGGGCACGCTAACGGCCGTCTTCCGCTCAGGGATTGGGCTAACCACAGAGATGCTGCCCGGAGGGATGCCGGGCACGTGCTGGTCCAGCCAGCAGCAGCGGATGGGGTCCGGGAGGGCCTGGCAGCCTTCGGGAGCCCAGATGGGCAGCGCTGCGAGTCTGGGCAGCCGCCCCCGCCTCAAGGAAGTGGGGAAGTTCTGCCTGGGGGGGAGGAGCCACAGGGGGCTGCTGCTTCTCTCTGCTCTTCCCCTGGATCCACATCTTCTGCGCTGATGATCTCCCAGGTTCCAGGCCTGCCTTCAGTGCGGCCAGGCTGGGGGGTTCTGTGATACCACTGGCTGAAGCTGGCGGGGGGGGGGGGGGGCAGGTAGGAGACCCATGACAGCAGGAGCAAGACCTTCTTCGCAAAAGATTTCCGAACAACGGGTGGTCTGACCAGACTGTGCAATAGAGCCACGGCTGTTCTCTCCAGAGGAGCAAACCTCTGCCACTTGAGCAGGGACTGGCCCTGCTGTGGGTAAAGTGGCGCATGGGTAGCGGTGTGGTCAGCACACCCCACGCCCCTCTGCATCCCAGGCCAGCTTAGGAAGGGGGGTGCTCTTGCTCGGGGAACTCGGGGCCCCTTTACTCTAAATCCTAATTCCAGAATTCCTAAGGCCATGAGGAGGGGGAGGAGCACCAAGGCCTGGCCTTCATCGGGACCACGGGCTGCAGGTCTAAAACTGCAGGAGCAGGTGTCACGGAGGCTGAGTCTGGCTGATTAGATGGACATTAAGCTTGAATTCAGCCTGTTCAGCATCCTCAGCAGCCAAGCAGTCAGACCTGGGTAGCACCTGGATGGGAGGCCACCAGGGAATCCCAGGTCTTTAGGCTAGATGGGAAATATCATCAAACTTCCCTGTTGTGCTCATGAACCACGAGCTGCTTCAGCAAACTGCTTGGCAAATGCGTGCATCTATAGATAAGCGACAGGCTACACGTTTCCAGGGAGTCGGCCTCTCACGTTTTCTAAAGAAAAGCCCTGAAACACGGCCTCGTCCCAGTCTGCTTAGCTCAGGCTGGCTGGCTTTGTTCTCCTTGTCCCCAGGTAAGCAGCCTCTGGACCCTGACAGATTCCCGCCCAGCCCAGCCGCTGCCCCCCTTCCGTCCAACCCAGACTTACAAGCTCTTGATCCTGGATTCAGGCAGGCGGCCATCCGTGCGGTCAGAACCTGGGGGGTCCGTCAGCCACCCCTCACCCTCCTCCTCCTCCTCCCTGAAAGAACAGAACAGAACCAAGCAGGCATTGCAGACACCTCAGTGGGGTTCCGTGTGTGCTGAAATGGGGGGGGGTGTTCCCCATTCCCTGAGGGAATATGGCAATGCCACTGCCAGAGCCTCGCCATCTGGACCACCTTATTAGATAGTCAGCTAGAGTTGCACCTTTCTCCCTGTAATTTTGCACAGCGGGTTTCATGCCCGCTGTTTTTCTTCTATTTCCCATCCTAACCATAAAATAGTTGTAGATGAAATCATGGTACTTTACAAATGATCACAGGGTACCTGATTAAACAGCCTGTTTGCATGAAATTATGCAGTAAGTAAGAACTACACCAGGATGTTCCTAAGGCAGAGCCAAGGGCCAGGAGTGAAGTTGGGGGCTGACAGAAACTACCTGAGAATACGCGTTTCCTTTTAGCTTAAACCTCCAGGGCCAGATGAACCGCCTCCACCGGTCTGGCCCACCCTTCGAATATGCTTTTTGAGAAATTCTGCTGAACGGGCAGCACTGGAGCGCTGGAGGAGAGCAAGCGTTGCCCCTCCTTCGGTCAGTCCAGGCAGTGACAGGCCAGCCGCCCTGACGCCTGTGCCAGAGAAGAGCCTGGCGGTCGTAGAGAGAGGGGCTTATAAGGTGAGTCAGTGCAGAGCAGCCTGGCAACGTAACATGGGAGATGCAGCCTTCGTTCCTTTTCCGTTCTTCCTCGAGCCGTTCAGCCAAGTGCCCTCCGTTCACCTAGAGGGGGAACGCGTAACAACTCCCCCTCCCCGTCCCTGTTTGCTCACTCTCCCCAATAACAGCGTTATGTGTGCCCAGAGGCCAGTCCCTGCTTGTTTCCAACCCGTCCAGGCCAAGCGGGGCTGGACTGCCAGATTCTGCACTGGCGGATCTTCCTTCCCAGCGGGTTTCTTGGAGACGACCCGTTTGCCTAAGAGCTGGCTGAGGGTCCGGAGAGAGGCGCGCCTCCTCTCACGGCCCTGGGTAAACAAAGCTGGCCCGGGCCTGCCGCCCGCGGCCAAGAGACCCACCTGCTCGTCGGTTCCTCTTCTGTCCCCAGCATCTTGGCCCAGATCTTTTTGCGCTGTTTCTTGATGGCAGATTTCACCGCGTCCAGGAGGAGGGCAGGGACCCGCTCATCGTTAAGCAGCTCCCTATGGGGAGAAGCAGCTCAATGTCAGGAGTGTGGTGGGAGGAAGGAAATCTACCTCTCCTCTAAGAGGGAGACTGCGCAAACTCCTACGTTTGAGTAGGGAAAAACAAAGGCATACAGAAACCTATTTGGCAGCGTTACATTTATTAGCTATAACTTATATTCTAACTTCATCTCACTGACTCCCAGCAGTTTGCACAATTACAATTTATTAGAATACTTTTAAAATCAGCAACAGTATACAACTACTCCTTAATGATACCCCAAAGCCCTCTGGATCAGCTCCATTTTCAGTAACTTCCAGAAGGACACAGGGGAAATCTGGGTGGCTTGGTGGATCACATACTAAATATGAGCCAACAGTGTGATGCAGCAGCAAAAAAAGCGAATGCAGTCTTAGGCTACATCAACACTTGTCTATTGCCAGCAATAGGAGAAGTCCTGGTTCCTCTCCATTCTGCACTGGTCAGGTTGTACTTAGAATACTCCATCCAGGTCTGAGCACCACATTTTAGGAAGGCGCAGTAGGTGGAAGGCGAGAGAAGACGATGACCAGCGGCAAGGTGAACGGACTTGATTACAGAGGCAATCAGGGCACCACTGGAAGGTCCAAAGGCCCAGACTGGGGACAGATCATTTTGTTTATCTACTTAGATTTCAGCACCACCCAACTCCAAAGCGACCTCGGGTGGCTCACAATATAAAAAAACAAAATGCAAATGCAATAAGGGAAATAACAAAATGACAATCTGAACAACTGACATCATCTGATTGCCATTTTGTTATTTCCCTTATTGGATACAACATATGTCAGACCTTCCTGAAAGGGTCTAAGTATGACCACTAGGACTCGGGCTTGATGGCACGTAATCAGATCGGTGAGAGGGCTTGGTCCCCAGGGTGGGAGGCCAGGCATTTCAGGGAGGCGCCCGTGAGAGAAGCAGGCACGAACCCCCGTGTCTGCCGTCGTGCAGAGGGGCCCGGGTGCGCGGTGGGGCCCGTGCAGGGGCCCTGCCAATTATCGTGGGTGGGTGTTGGTGGACCTCAGCTGTGGACTGCGTTGGATGGTTCTTTATGCCTGGGGTGGGGGGGCTGTGTTGGCTTTGTTTTTTATATTTTTAATTGCTGCGAGCTGCCCAGAGCCATGTATTTTGGATGGACGGCTATATAAAGTGAAATCATACATAAATAAGCAAGCAACCAAGCAAAGAGGGCTCAAAAGCCCTTAAGTCCTGGACAGCAAGGTAGCATTCAAAGAGGCTCAGGCAAGCTTCTCCCTGATTCACTGAGATGTACGAAGGAGGGGAGGTAATGCACAGTCGAGCTTGAAAAGCTCTGTTTAAAGTAGAGTCCTAGTCTGCTTCCTAATCTGGTTTGCCCCAAAGCTCCCCCACTGGGTCTACACGTCCTGCTCTGGAGCAGCATCCTGGTCATCATTCTTGCCATTACCTGACTTGCTGCCCACCCTCTAGTCTTAACTCCCTAAAAAGTGTGCTGACAATTTAGATTTTCTTTAAAAATGGGAAAAAATGAAATAATTTCTATAATGCAACCTCTTGGCTGCACAGCATAATGGCATGTAATTAGAGGTCTCAGCCCATCTCCCAACCCCTTGGGACATAGATGAATCTTACCAGCAATAAATAAAATCAAACTTTATTTTTTTAAAAAAAGAGAAAATGTAATAATGTTAGGTATTAAAATGTAAACGTTCCCTGTTGGGAAAAAGAAAGAGAGAAGTACCTTGATAAAACAATTGTTTCCCCATGAGTTATAAAGAAAAAAAACCTAAAATAAGATGCAGTGATCCAGTTAGTGAGTTTAGAAGAGAGACTGCTTGTAAATTATATTTTAGCTCAAAAGAAGTTAATAAAAAGAAAAAAAATGGGGACACAAAAAGTTAGGAATTTTTAAAAGATGTTGGCTATACAGAATTTCCTACTTGTATAGAAGCACAAGAGACCCTAAGGCTTAAAATACGCCGAAGTGCAAAATTCAAATGCAGTTTTCTAGCTAAACATTCTAACCTAACTTTTTAGAGATAAACAGGTTCCTGAAGCAAAGATCCTTTGCTTGTTTCCTGGGTTCTTTTAAGCTTCTTTACATCAGAGGCTCGGGAGAACTATGTTAATTCTCTCCCTTTCCTAGCCCAGGGACCCAGCTTCTTCCCCTTTCATTATTTCCTCCAGTTTAAAGCAAACGAAGTTTTTAGAGAAAAATGAAGCCGTCTCCAGCTGAGCAGGAGGGTTTGTGAGCAAGGGCCAGGCCTCCCTCCGAGGGGTCTTGCCTTGCCCCGAGAGGACGCGTGAGTGCTCTGGGCCCAACAGGAGGGCTCTGGCAAACTGCAGGATCCCGGGGAGCAGAAAACCGCAAGGAGATGCGGTAGCCACCTTCAAGCGCCTGCAGGGCCACCCGGCGGACGACAGGGTGGAACGTTTCAGTCGTTCTGGAAGGCCAGACATGGGGGTTTAAAGCACGAGGGCTCTGGTGGGAAGACTCTCCGAACACCAATCGCTCTTCAGCCGCCATGGGACTGGGGACCTTTCTGCTGGAGGCGTTTAAGCAGAGGCTGGACAGCCGTCCCTTGGGGTGGATTCCCGCACTGGAGGGTCTTTAAGGAACCCTCCCCCATCCCACCTTCCGTTCTGGGGTTAGAAATAAGGGGTGGGGGTTCAGTGTTCCAAAGGAAGAGGAAAAACCCTCTGCTTTTCAAGTAAGAGTAATACTGTAGAATAAAACTGAGGATTACCAATGTTGTCAAGCCCTTAAGGGGAACTTCCCAACCAAAACCGTTCTGACAGGAGAACAAGCTGAGTCTCTGCTAGAGGCTGTACCGGGACCGGTAGCAGCCCCCTATTTTCCGCAGGGCTGGGCCCCATCAACCATGAGAGCACCCTGCAACAGCTGTTCCATCAGAAGTGGCTCAACTTGGACCTTCCTGCCAGAGTCCGAAGAAGCCCAGCTCTCCCGGACCGAAGACACTTCTGGGGCCACAGTGCCTCTGCCAGGAGGGACCCTCCCCTTCCTCCTCCTGCCTCAAAGGGCCCAGGGAGCCGGTTGGACTGACCGCTGGTAATAGGCCAACTCCTCCTCCACCAAGAAAAGGCTGGTTTTCAGCTCATTGCGTTCTTGCAGGATCTGCTGCAGCTCTTCTTTGGAGAAGGAGCGCTGGCCAGGCAGGTGCTCTGGGGGTGCCGGGGCCACTGCCGCACCCCCCTCCTCCTCTTCCTAAGGAAAGATGGGGGGTGTTCATATTGCCTTGCACTGGGAGCCACCCAAGTCAGGCGCCTCAATTGAGTAAATGAATAAAATGATCAAAAAAATGAAGCTGGTCACTGGCCAGCTGCAGGTGGACTCCTTTCAGCTGAAAACTGCCCAGGCAGGCTAGGGGAGAGGCTGAACTTGGGCTTCCATCAGCCTCTGTGTCCACAGCAGGGTGGGGGACTGGCAGCCCCTGGAGCCTCCCCCCCCCCAAGACTACCTGCAGCCCAAATTAGAGGGACAAAAGGTCTTGATTGCTGTAGGGAGGCATGGCGATAGCGATGACTTTGGAGGAGCCACCGGAAGCCGTTCAGGCCACAAGGGGGGCGGAAGCAGGGCTTTGGCCCAGGGAGGCGGGAAGTGTTAGAGAAAGACCCGGGCTGGCTCTCCCCGGGGGACAAGGGGAAATCACAGGAACGTTGATGAAGGTTCTCAGTCATCCAGGGGGAATTATCTGGAGGTTGAGTTACAGTGAAACGTATCAGACCAAAAGGAAGGAAGTCCAGTTGCCGTGACTCAACCTCCGGAAATCCCTCACAGGGATCTCTCCCCATAGCCTCTCTCAATGAAGTTGGTTTCGCGTCTTTGCTGGAGTCAGTTTCTTGATCTGGTCTGACTCGTAGGGCTGGCAGCTGCCCACTGCAGACCACACGGTTCTTGCGCAGCCAGACGGGGAGGGGCTCAGGAGCCGGAAGTCCCTCTAAGTTGTACGGGTGGGCGAGTCCCCCGGGAATCTGTGGCTGTGCCCTCCCCTCACCCAGACACGCAGAAGCCACTTGCTTTGTCCCTCTCACCATGGTGGCGCCAGTCCTCAAGGGCGCAGCTGCTCGGCTACCCCTTTCCGCTTCCCAGAGGGCCTCCATCTCCGCCTTCTTCTCCAGGGCGCTCCCGAGCTGTGCCTGCACGATGGCCAGCTTCCGGCGAAGGTTCTCATTCATGGCCATGAAGCGGTTGAGCTGTTCCTGCAGCTGTGGAGCCGGACACACAGCCGCCCTCAGCAACAGGGGGCAGTGGAAGCCCCCCCTTGGGCCCTCGGAGGCAGCTCCCCTTCCATCCCAGGGGCCACGGGCACTCACCGCCTCTGTGTCCTGGCCCTTGCACTGGATCTCGTGGTCCTGGGCACGGATCTTGTCCCGCTGACGATCCACCACCTCCTTCAGCTGCAGCATCACTTCCCGCTCTTTGCGCAAAGTGCTGTCTGAGGCGGGACAGAGACCGGCGTTGCTGCTGGCCCTTCTGCTTTGCCATCGGCGTGGCTTCCCTTTTAGCTGAGGGGACCTTGCACTGGTTAAATGACCGCTAGCAGCACTAGAAGAGCAGCAGAAGCCTCTTATGCGGGCGAAGGATAAGCAGCAAGGGAGCCCTGCATGGCGGGAAGCGGATGCCGGCCCCAGCGGCCCCGGGCCCAGCCCATCTCCATTCCGACCGGAGCAGGCAGGACGCGCGCCCTCCACCCGGGGACATCTGCCGCAGCTGGCAGCAGCCCCTGGGAGGGCTCCCATTGTTCCTCTGGCCCAAGAGAGCTCCGAGTGAGGGTGCCAGGGACCAGCCTCTTCCTCACCCTGGTGCCTGGCTGCTTTCCCGATCAAGTGACACGCACCGCGGCACTCCTTTTCCGGAGAACTAGGGTGCATTTATTTGTTTGTTTGCTTTTGTTTATCAAACTTGTAAGCTGCCCAACTCCCAAAGACTCTGGTGGCTCACAAAAATCAAAACAAGGAAATTACAAGCAAGCCAATAAAACAGGAGGTGAAAGAGATAAGATGGCAAGAATGACAGATCGGATGGAAACGAAGGAAGGGCCTCTCTCCCCCGCCAAAGTCCTGTTTGTGGGAAGCCACTATTTGCTGAATAAACACAACTGACTGGGCCCGCACAAAGGACCAAGCTATAAACCGTGCCTTAGAGGTGGAATTCACATAAGATGCTAAACCCAAACCAAGCAAACCACGTTACAGGTTTAGTGACAACCCTCTGAGGGACAGCCATCAAGTTGGTCCCAAACTCACTGGCCTGAATTTAACTGCACTCAGTCAGGAAGAGTCGGCTGAAGACCATGTCTTTGTGGCGCTCCATGTGCCAAGAGATGCCAAGCAAGGAGGACTCTCCTCCCTCTCATGGAGTGGCATCCAGCGTGTGGTGGGCGTTCACCGAAGATCGTGCCTGCTCTACCTCCTGCATCGAGTTCGTTGCTCGCTGAATTGCAACTCACGATTCATAACCCAGACTTCCTTTCAGAGAGTGAAAGCAAAGCAAAGCAGCGTGTAATAGAGGTCACTCTCTCCTTGCTGGCTGGCGCTTAGGTATTTCAGTTGTCTCCAGTTTCCAGCTTGATTCTGGATCCTCTCCTGGCCCATCCTAGCTAAGCAGCCGGGAGCAGAACAGCAGACCAGAGACCAAGAGGCTGCCACCCTTCCCAGGCAGGGAACGCCTGGACGAATGAGTTAACCAACTAGGCTAGATTTGCGCGGCACAACAAACACAGAAAAGCAAGTTGTGCAAATGCCACTGCTCAGCTATACATCACGGGCACACACACGGCATGGAATTGCCCACACAGACTTTGAAGCTAAGTGCAGTCTGTTGTATGGCAGTGTTCATTCCCTCGCTCCCCCTCCCCTTGCTCAGACACACAAGTGGGGAAGCCTCTGGGCTCTTTTCAGGGGCAAGAGTCCTACAAGGGGCCAGCCCACACTTCAACCATCCTCAAACCAAGGAAGTCCGCCAGCATGGCTGCTGGAATGTCCTCACTGGCTCTGTTTCCAATCCAAAGCTGAAGCAGGTGTGGAAGGTGAATGCTGAGGAACCGCTGCAGAATAGTGAAGAGGGAGGAGGAGGAGGAGGAGGAGGCAGCAGCTCGGTCCAGAGCTCCGTCCTCCCTTGCACAAGGCCTCGGAATTCCAGACCCCGCCTTTCCTGGCAGAGTCAGAAGCGGGAGGGTCGAAGGGCACCCATCTCTGGCAGAAACACGCAGGGCCCTGCCTGGTCTCCACACAGCAAAGGCTCCCTGTCTCCTCGGCCACACACCCTGATGGGAAGGAGAGGCAACCCCGAAAGACCCCGTGGCTACACACAGCCCAGGCAAGATGGCTCGGTGGCCCCTTGTGCCCAGCTCCAAGGGCTATGGGCTTCGGGGCCATGCCCTCCCCCCCCCGCCCTTTCTCGGAAAGGCCCCTCCTCCCTTGGCCCAGCCCTGACCTTCCTGGGCCTGGCTCCCAGCCAACAGGCTCAGCACTCGCTGCTGCTCCTCTTCCATCTGGGCCAGCCGGCTCTGGAGGCGCCGCTCCCCCTCTCGGGCCTCAGCTAGCTGCTCCTCCGCCACCTGCCGGGAGAAGAGGTCAAGTGGGAAGCGCAGAGGCGGCCCCGACGGTCCCCATCCTCCGCCCTGCCCGCGCCCCGGAGGGCTGCGGACGCAGCGGCACAGCGGAGGCCGCGGGCAGCCTGTGGCTGTCCCAGCGCGACGGGGAACGAGACTCAGCGGGGCTCGAGCGGGGCCACCCGGCCGGCTCGCAGCAGCTGCCCGCCCCCCC